CCCCCGCCCCCAAGTAGTTACCCATTCATGGCAGAGACAGCCCATTGTACTATAATATCCACTCTCCCCTTTGTCAGCAATAGAACCCTGGAATGGGGACTGGGCCATCCATATGAAGACTATACTTCCCAGCTTCCCTTGCAGCTCGTATCTTCATGTGATTATGTTCTGGCCAACGGGATGCGTAGAGAAGTGACTTGTGAAACTTCAGGGCCATTCCCTTAAAGGGAAGGTGTGTGCCTCCTACATTTCTCTCCTCCTCCCTGGCTAGCACCCAGAAGTGATGGCAGGAAGCAGGTGTTGATGATGGCAGAAAACAAGAGAAGAGGGGCCTAGCTGATCACGGAGCCTGGTGCATCTCCTGGACTTTTGTGTGAGAGAAGCTTCTGTCTTGACTAAGGCCTTCTATTTTGGAGTTACTTTGGTCCTTGGATGGTCCCCTCCATCAAAGTGTCTCTGGGAACAACCTCCACACTGATAATCCCTCAGCACAATGAGGTGGTTCAGGACACAGGCTTTGGGGCTATGTGACCTGGGCATGAATCCACCTCCACTGTTTTATAACTCCTCGACTTTGGAGTTGCTCACTCTCTGTAGCTCCATTTCCAATGATTCCCACCTCCTAGGGCCGCTGTGAGAAATCAATGCATTAATGAATGTAAGTGCTTAGCCCAGCGCCTTGGGCACAGTAAGCGCTTATTAACAAAAGTATTATTACTAATGGTAGTTCTACCTCCACACAGGGCCATTTAAAAAAAAAAACCTGTAGGTACAAATCCAGGTTTCTGCAGATGCTAAAGCAGGGGGAGGTCTGTGCCCTCGAGGCACAAAAAGTTTCTGTGCTGAGTCTAATGGAGAAGAAGACATCAGCCTCCCGAAGCTGGTAATTTGCTGTCTGGTCCTCTTTACAAAAGAAGTGCCTCTAGGAAAGGCAGGGTGGTAGAATGGGTGGGGCAGGGCGTCCTGGAAGGAGGACTCAAGAGACCTGGGTTCCAGTTACCGGCTCTGCCTCCATCTCCCCGCAGAACCCATGGTGGGCAAATCTCTCTACCTCCTCCAAACTCGGTTTGTTTGTCTAACTCAGATTTCACATCTGATCTAAAAGGTATTATTAGATCGAGAATCAGCAAACCTTTTATATCAAGGACCCGATAGTAAATATTTTAGACTTTGTGGGCCATACAAAGTCTCTGTTACAACTACTGACCTGTGCAGTTGAAGTGTTAAGCATCCACAGATAATATATAAATGAACAAGAATGGCAGTGTTCCAATAAAACTTTATTGACAAAAACAGGTGCTGGGCTAGATTGCTGACCCCTGTGTTGGATGACCTCTAAGGTCCCTTATACCTCAAACACGGTCAACGCGAGGAGCCCTGTGCTCATGGTTGGCTCCAGAAGGCACGCATAGTACCGCTATGGCAGATTCTCATAGCAGGCCGGCTACTGTTCTGAGCCACATCACTGGGTTAAATATTTTGGATGTCATCCCCACATATCCTGATAAGGAAACGGAGGCCCAGGGAGGGAACAGGATTTGCCCAAGGTCACAGAGCAAGACCGGACACGTCTCCAACACTGCCCTCAAGGCCCAAACCTAGTTTTGTCATCTCTAGTAGAGCAACTATATATCAAGACCCTCTTATATAACATCTCCTTTCCTCCCCTCATCATGAACACAGTAAAGTATTATGATTACAATTTTTCTGTCAGGCCCCAAAGCCAATAGGCCAAATTTATCGTTCCCACCCTCAAGTTTCCTTACACAGAAGGCCCATCTGCTAGGTTGCTGCCAAACTGCTGTGCGGGATATATTTCATTCCTAGCTCATCATGTCCCACTTCCTGCGTCCTGGAGGGGCCCAGTGGGCAGAGTCAATGTAAGACAAGGCTTTCGGACTCCCCAGAAGATGGAGCCAAGGCCCCTTCCATCTTCCTGGTCTCAGGGATCCCCAGCACCCACTCCTTCATTGTACCCTGCGGGGCAGACAGGGTTTCAGAGCCCCTTCCTGAGCCTCTTCCTCTGGACACCCAAGTCTCTCTCAAAATAAGATACCAGAACAAACCCTCAGCTTCCAGGAATGTCCCTGAAGGACCTAATTAGGACAGTCAACCAACAGCTTCCAGCTTTTTCAGCCCAAGGTCGTTTAATGGCCTGGTGTTAACCTCAGTTTCCAACCATAATTACTGGTTGTGGGGGTGAAAAAAAATCTAAATTTTATGCATCTAAGTATATAAACTTTTTTTGAAAATATTCAGCCAAAAATTATTTTCAAAAGACTGCCCCCCACACACACACAGCCAGTCCTCCCTCTCCACGTTCCCTAGCACTGTGGACACAGTAAATCACACAAGCTAGAGACCCATGACAGAGTCTCTGCTACCTGCTTACTGTGTGACTCCATATAAATTGCCTAACCTCTCTGGGTCTCAGTGTCTTCATCTAGATATTAAATATGATATGGCACCACCCGTCCAGGCAGCTTCCAAAGCCCTGTCTTCCAGGGACATGGTCACATTCCCCCTGCCACTCACGTGATCACGACGGGGGCCACCTTGTTGGGGATGATGGACTTGGCCTTACTGTTGTGCAAGCCCGTGGTCTGGAAGGAGTGGACGCTGAGTGAGTGCCGCCCGTCCATCGTGCTGCCACCCTGGAGGCCCTCGAAGGGGGCACTGGCTGACACCGTCTGCTGAGCTGTGCTGGCCGTTGTACCCATAGTCAGCCGGCAATCTCAGACCCAAGACCTGTGGGGTGAGAGGGCATGCGGTCAAGGAGGGGGTGGGAAAAGCCAGGGCAGGGAAAGACCTAGCCTACCCCTCACCTCCACTGTATGTGCAGATCAAAGTCTGAGGCCCAGGGAGGGCCGGCTCACCCTGTAGCTGGAGAGACAGGGCAGATGTGCTGCCTACCACATGTCACTGAGTGTCTGCTATGTGCCCAGCCCACTGCTGGGGCTTTGGGTGGTTGTGGGCATAGAGAGATATAACGAATCCCCTGACCCATTAGAGTTTACATTCCTCTGGTGAAAATAAGAGAGGAAGAGGTTAACCTTCCATACCAGGTGGGGACTGAGGGCTCTAGGGGACTGGATCAGGCCACATGGAGGCCAGGCCTTCCAGATTGGGAGAAGTAGGAGAGTTTGGGAGAACCAGGGACACATGCTGAGGGAAGTCAGGCTTGGATGTAAAAGATGTGGGTGTAAACAGGATGCAAAAGGACAGTCTAGCCATGGATAGCACAAAACAAGGCCAGGGAAGTCCAGCCAGGGTGAGCTCTCAGCAGATCAAGGGTCCAATGAAAGCACCAGGCCCCTGAACTCAACATCATCATCAACCTCAACATCATCAACCACAACCTCAGCATCACCAACCTCAACATCATCAACCTAAACCTCAGCATCACCAACCTCAACATCATCAACCTAAACCTCAGCATCACCAACCTCAACATCATCAACCTCGACATCACCAACCTCAACATCATCAACAGGCAAAGCTTCTGGCCCACATGAGGTATCCTCATGGAGCACCCTCTCCCAGGGAAGCACTTAAGGATGCATGCAACAAGTGGACTACAAGGGTAGTGTTGCTTATATAACAAAACACTGGAAACAACCTCCAGTCAGCAACAGGGGATTTGTTGAACAAATTACGGGACATCTCTAAAGTGGAATGTTAAATGGCATTAAAAATATCATAGTAACTGATGCAAAAAGACATCTCAGAAACAGGAATGGAAGGAGCAGTTTGCAAGTTTAAGCTACAATCCTAATTTAATTCATGAAAGCGTATCAGGAGAAAAGTCTGGAAGGATACACACAAAGATGTTAATGTAAATTATCACCAAGTGATGAGATTATAAGCAAATTTTTTTCTTTCTTTCGCTTCTCTGCATTTTCTGATTTTTCTCCTCTGAACACTGAGTAATAAAATTAAAGTTGATTTAAAACAAGTAAGAGAATGGCTGAGAAAGCTGACTGGAGACCTATTAAGGGCCACAAGAGGGTGCGGGAAGGATTGATTCCAGGGTCCAGACATGGGAGACAGAACTTTCTGAGACTCCTCGTGGCATTAAT